GTGGGGGTCTTTAGTGGAATACAGTCGAACTTCTTCTTGTGACACCTCTATTCAAGTGTAACGTCCATTCAAGGGACACAATACTTTGGTCCCGGAAAATGTTCACATTATCATTGTATTTGTTACCTCTATTAAAGGGACACCTCTATTCAGGGGAAAGGGACACTTTTTCTGGGTCCCAAACCTGGGCTTTATCCCCATTGTGGGGTCATCATAGCAATCAAAAAGTGACTGACCGCAAAAATCGTTGATAAGTTTAAGTATTCACTAGTCACAGTGGCGACAGCTTTCAAAACATGAATTATCTCACTGAAAGCGATGCACTGCACTTGTGGGAATTCAACACCCAAAATCGCAGAGATAAGTTAATCGTGAATTTGTATACATTATCTACCTGCTTGAAATGATTACTGCAGCAGATTCTTAGGCAATTCAAAATATAAGAAAATACTTTGTTTGTTGGTTAATTATTAACAGACCCCAGCCCAACCTCCATTCATCACACACCTCTATTCAGGGGACACTTGTCCTATTCCTAAGTGGGTCCCCTGTATACAAGTACCACTGCATAGGATACATAATCCAGTAATCCGGGTGTCTCTCCGGAACTGAGCCTTAAAAGAGGGTGAACGTTGGCGGTTTGCAGTCTTCTTGTGGGATACCAACAATTTTTTAAAGATCTAATTCCCGTGCATCGTATCAGATTTAAAAACATTATTAATTTTGTATGCGAAATGAAATAAATATGGGCCATCGAAAATGGTCTGTTGTCTTAAAAAGGTTATCGAAATGAATGTTTCTTAACTCAAACAAGGGCAGGGTTTTGAAGGCCTCAGCGACACACCCCTACTCATTCTTCCGATAAGTGCCTCCACAGGAATCGACCATAATATGGTTAAAGCCTGAAAAAGCACCTTTAGGTCTCTTGGTTCATAATTAGTGAAAATGAACCTTGTAATAAAATATTTCTCTCGCTAAAAATTTAAAAAATAAAGAACCCTTACGCGAGGTTTCGATAATGACTCTTGTTACAGCTGATAACAGGTAACTGGACACTTCTTACTTATTCGTATAATTTATACGAACGACAA